CTTTAAATGAAAAGCAAGGGGTCTACAACTCAACCAGCAGTCTACGAACACCTCAACTCAACTCGAGACCACGCCCCTTTGGTGTGATGACGTTGCCTTTGGCCCCGCCCTCTGTGTGACGTCATTGACCACCTCCTCAGCTCCTCCTGTCGCAGAACGCCCATTTTCATGCTACTGACATTTGTACTCATCACTTCCATGAAAATACATATCTTTGGCAACCTCTTTTGCTATATTTATACGTAATATTTTCTTCTCGTACCACTCTGATGCAAGCATTTTCATGTTTCTTTGTCAGTAATTCTAGGACCTATTACCCAAAATGATCTTAAAGAACGACTTATTAATTAAAAATATGGTATTAAGTATGGTAAACTATAGCATATTTCGAACCTGTCCAGCTGTCATGTTGAAAGCCGTCAATGACGTGTCATTTCACTAAACTTTACGTTCATTGTACACATTGGCCATAACATTAATAATAATGTATAAACAGTAATGTATTACAAAGAAATTTAAAAAGAATCTATATTTAAGTGCCTCTCGCTGATGAATAAATGGATGACTATATTATTTGTACCTTAGTATATGATATTCTAACGCTTATTTTCAGATTATTCATTTCTTGTTTTTCGATGAAATTATATTATCTGTGTGATATTTAAAACAAAAAATCTGATGCAGACACCGCATGTCTTCCTTGTACGGCCTATTAAATTATACAGAGTTTTTGCTGCATTTCATTTAAACCTATTTTTTCGAATTTCATTAGAGATATATTTCTCATTCAATTAATTCAGTTTTCATTTCGCGGCAAGGAAAAAATACACAAAACCTCAAAATATGTTCATTAAAAATTGTAAAATACAGAAAAACATAAAGCACCAAATACAGTTAAAAAGAGATTAAAAAAAATTTTTACAATTAAAATTAGAATTTCTGCACGAAGCAGTCCCATATGCAAAACTCCAGCGTTCTGAGGCTACTCGTTTTTGAGTTATGCGAGATACATGCATACGTACGTACAGACGTCACAAAAAATTTCTTTTGAATCCATTTCAAATTCCTTTTACAATACATTTCGGAAAAAAAAAAAAAAAAAAAAGTCCTTTATTCCGTCCGTACATGACATCGTTTAAATGCATTCGAGAGCGGTCAAAATTGATATTTTCGTTGAAATAATGATACCCGAAATATTTCATGATTACAATACTTCTTTTACTTCGTACAAGAAAGCAAAAATCACGAACCTTGCTTATTTAGATTTCAATAAATGTTACTTTAAAGAGTTAAAATATTCCTATCCGACGTTTTCTGCATTAAACTTGAAGGAACATAAAAGCTTTAAACTGGAATCTAATAGCATAACCAAAATTCTGTATTCAAGCTTCAAGCGGAAAAACAAATGCATAGTTTTTGTATTTTCGTTTTTATGCCCTATCTTATTTTCTCTTTTTGCTTTCAACATAGCTTTGCTGCTGATCATATAATGTATTAAGGTAACTGGCATCAATCAATTCTTTCCACTTTCGTATCTTTGCATTATTTTCGAATTATATTTACAGAGTTTTTCTGAAGTTCCAACTTGCAATTTTCTTTGCTTATAAAATTAAGCTGTTACTGGTGTTTTCCTGAAGGTCGCTGAAAAGTTTGTCTACATAATTTGGGGATTAGAAGTAAGGCTACATTTGAGATTAAAAAAATTTCTAATGTGGCATTTTCTATTTTCGACACGCGACACTAATTTGATTTACAGAAAGTTCTGTTCCATTCATTTTTTATATATATATCAGTGAAGCGTAAAAGAAAATTCTGGAAGATTACCAAAATGATTCATAAACCACTGGAATTCACAAACCATTTTAATAATCAAACACAAGTATTTTTATGAACTAAATTAAAATAATTCATTAAACTTAAGTTTATGGAAATTGGAAAACAATAAAATAACCTTGCAAATTAATTATTTATAAACACTTACATCATCTGAATAATTAATAAAATTTGTTCCCTGTGCATTTCATTATATACCCGTGGCGATAGTATAATTTACAAATGATATTTCTAATGCATTACAGTATGTAACGCCTGTGTAGTTAGCAACAGTTATGAAACATGTTCCTAATGCATTGCATTATTCACCTAAGTGACTAGCATAATTAAATAAAATATATGTTTAAGTGCATTATGTACAGTCTTAACTAACTACAGAATTTTTGCTCGTCATTTTGTATGCCACTACAGCGCAGTTGGTAGCAACTGTGTAGTCGCATAACCTACATACTGTAGTATCCATGTAAAAAAATATGAATTTCGTTCCACGAAAAACAGGTTTAAATAAAATGACAATCATTAAAAAACGATGACTTGCAACTTTTTTAAAAGGTATGGTTGGCTTACTTGATTATGGCAAAACACTTGAGAGCTATCTGCCTAGGATAAGGGATGCTTTCGTGGAGCGATTTCCGAAGGGAACTTAATCGTAACCACGAAAACTTCCATGCAGCCAACCAAGTTCGCCTGAAATCAAACCCAGCTCGAACTATCAGCGTTCAGCAACTTTTTAAGGAATTAGTTTTTATAGCGCTTTCAATTAGCGCTGTAAAAACATATACTGTGCAACACAGTATGTTTAAGAATAAAATATTTGGTACTATTCTGCTTAAAATTAGGTAAAGATCAGCTTAAGGCGGATGTTTGCTTTACATATTTCGAAAAAGCAGACCCAGGATCTTTTTTAGAAAGGCAAAAGCATTTTACCAAAATTTGCAGAATAATCTCGAAAATATGTTGAAATGAGTGTAGACCTTTTTTAAACAAAATAAATTGTTAATCTAAGACTGATTTCTCCTAATTTTAGGTTTAATAATCTCTTTTGCGTATTATTTCATAACATATGCTGCTATGTCTAACACTGTTTCCCTTTTTATAAATTTTAAACATGACATGAATATAATTATTTAAGTACTTAAAGTGAAAATTAAAACTTTTTCGGTTTTTATTTTTTCATTTTTTGTTAGCCTTTTTGAAAAAATACATCAATTCCAGGAAAAGCGGAATATAACTATATATTCTAAGAATCATCAGAAAAATAGAAATCATTGCATGATTAAACTATATTAATGAAAGTAAGTATAAATTATCTCATAGAACTGAAATAATACCAGAAATATATATAGAAACACATTTTGAAAACGATGCAACGTGTATCTGATTTAAATACCGCTAATTAAATATTTTCTCACGTGTTAATTATGTTCAGTTAGCGGATTTAACGTCACTGAAGAAAATGATCAACTACACCTTGAATTTTCTTATTGAATAAATACACAAGTCTTCCTTTAACATTAATTCGCGTTGAAGTAATATCACAACAGATTTTTTTTCCTATTTTTTACAGCTTGTTTTATATAAATGGTTTTTACGTTCTGTAACCATGAATTCTTGGATGATTAATTCTTAAAAGAGAAGTTTCATCGTATGTTAAGCTTAAACATCGTATGTTAAAACTGTTTTAGGCATTCAACTGAAATCAGCATACAAAGAAAAAAATCGTAGCTTTTTTTAAAGTTTGTATGTATTTATATATAGAAGTGTTTAACCTTTTAAAAACTGTTATGAGAAATTTCTTTTTTTTTTTTTTTTTTTTTTCTTCTTCTTCTTTTCCTCTCTGGAGGTTAGTTTGTTTGACTATGACAACGCACACAAGATATATCTATATAAGGAGGTGCTTTCATAGAGGACGTTTTAAGGAAAGTAGCTCGTATTCACGATACACATGAGAAAAATCGCGAAAAATCACACACAGCCAAACCAACTGAGATTTTGAAAACTACCAGAACCACTCGGTTAACGGTTACAAAGAATTTTCTGCTCCTTTATGGGATGTCTTCATCACGTAATTAACAGTACACCCGGCTAACAATCGGGAGACCCAACGTTTGAATCCTAGCAAGTGCATTGCTCATTTTTCATAGTTCCAGCTCCGACAAGTACTTAATGACTCCAAGAGTGATGCCTGAACAAAAGCTGAGGTTAATGATAATTCGTCACCAACTGGTTTTGACAACTAAATCCCCTAATTCTCAGTCACACTTTAAGCGCGAGAGAATACTCGGAATTTTCTTCTCTCACGCTTGCCTTTGAGGTATAATTGGAAACACGTCCAACTAGCGATCTGTAGGTCCGAAGCTCCAATACCGGTGAGGGCACTGCTTCGACAAGTACTTAAAAAGAAATCTACATGATGACCTCGTTTTTCGAGGAATTGTTTAGTCTAAGAAGTAGCCTTTGATTTTAGACGAGGATATCATCCTAGCAAATCGGTGAAATTGAAGTCAGCATAAACCAAAATGATTTTTTTTTATAAATCCATAGAAAGATAATGAAATGCATTTGAGACTCTGAAGTATCAGTTTTTTTGCCAGGAACCCTTTATTTGTATGTACAAATATATCACAAAGTGACTAATAATTAAAAAAACACTCTTAGTAAACATATATCGTAATCGAAATTTTAAAAAAATAGTGCGTAGTTTGTTTCTTTTCGTAAGTGATCGTAGTTTGTTTTTGTATTTTCATTTATTTATTTATTTTCGTGTGCGAGTGAGACTTGTGTATAGTCACCTCTATTATAATGTGATACTTGCATTTAAGTGCGACACCAACATTTTATAAAATCTTAAATTAAATGAACCTGAGATCTCAGCGGCAGCCTTTGATAGCTTAAACCATGGACGTTAGAATCGATGGAGTAAGCTTTCTCTGTATGTCTGTGCAAAGAAAAGGAAGCCATGAAACGTCACGGTAAGACGTCACCACTTATCATGGCCACTGCCACAAGCGGACTTTTGGTTGCTTTTCTTTACATTCTAATCGGCGTTGCTTACATCATTGAACGTTTTAAGCCTCACGTTATAATTTTAATACTTAACATAAAAGATTTTCTACTTATATAGAAAAATCACAAGGAATGGAAATCACTTTTTCAAATTTAATAAAATCTAGGTACATGAAAATGTGTAAATGATAACTATAACGCAAATGTATACGTAGTAAAATCTGACAGATCAGTGGAAGTTTCAACTGTATTTTATCCAAATTATGCCTAAAAAGACTTTTCTGAGCTTGCAGATTTCCTTGGCTTCAATTTTGTGACGTCATTCTTACTCCATCCATTCTAACCTCCATGGGTTAAACCTCTGGAAATAAAATTGCATATCTGTCAAACATGAAATGCAAAATTTTAATATTGTGTCATTGTTACAGAAATGTTTATAATTTAGCCTTCGGATTTTGCGCATTACATGAAGTTATGCTATTAGATCTTCGTTCTCTCGTTTATAGTTTTAATAGATTATTTCAAGCAAGAATCTGGTAGAGAAATCATTGTGTGAGATAAAATTACTGATATTTGCTGTATGAGAACTTTATCGACAAGTGCGCAAGTGGCTAAAGTTGCTGATTAAAAGTAGTTCGTTCCGGGATCTCTCGCAGCGACTCGCTGTATGAAACTTTGGAGTTTTCTCATGCGTAACGGGAATGGCTTAAAAATCCTCTGCGAAAATATCACTTCTTTGGCAGATACTTCTCTCGTGATTTACCGTAATTAAATCAATCAAGACCTTTACTTATCATTAAGTTTATAATGGTACATTGCTTATAACAAACTCAGCAATTTAAACACTATATAAACGCAGCTTTATACTGTTTCTAATACTTACATTATTTAATGTGCGACTAATAAAAGATATTTTTAATATCATATATGATATTACGTCCTTGATAGTATTTTACTTCGAGAGAAATATCTCTTCCCCAGACAACTGTGTTTGTGGCGAAAGTAGATGTCCAGAACACTACTTCTTCTCATGCTCATTAACACAACGCCATCACAATATTAGACCAACTACAAACGAACTCTAACTTCGAAGCTCTATCATGAATAATCTAAAATTTCACCACAAAATCAACAATATTGTAAAATACCTTTCGAAATAAGTGCAAGGTGTCAGCAATAACTGTTGCCAAAAAAGGCTTTATATTAGTATATGTATTCTTCTAAATAATAACTGCATGAAAATGTTTTGGAAAGTTCGCACTGAGCTTTTGTAGGATGCTTCACTGGATATATCATCACGGAACAGTACCTCTATCACAATAAAGTCTGGTGTCTCGTATGCGTATATTTTCCCCGTATGCGTGTATTTATGATTTTACAAGCAAATTTATACCGATTAATCAATCCCATTAAAGCAGATTTCATATTAACGAAACATATTATAGCCCAATCTCTCTGTCATTTACATTAGATTCGCTTAAGATAGGCACAAAATTCATATTCAAGTTATTTATCATCAAATGATCATAATTATTTAAAATATAAAACACGATATTTCAAAAGCAAAATTACCTTTCTCACAGTAATTAATTTTCTGATTCAGAGGATTGAAGACTAGTATATTTTCTTCGAGTTCGTATATTACTAGGAAGGCACTGTAATGTCATTTGTACTTATGATTTCCAAACTGTATTTAAAAGTGTGGGAATCTAGCACTAGTATACTAGATTGTAGCCAGTGATACCTTATAGATCATATACCTCTTAAAATTTATAAGAAGCCTTAAAAGTCATAATAATCCTTATGCATAAAAGTAAAATAAAAAAATTACAGATAGAAAAGAGTTTTACAGTTAAGTATTTAGCGAGACTGCTGTGACACATATCATAATGAAACAGTATCAAATGTTTGTTCATGTTAGAGACTTTAACAGACACAGAAGATCAAAATTAACAATAAGACAAGAAGACAAAGCTGGAAAAATGCTTTGTTAGTCTAATTGGACTATGTAAAGTTAGAAACTTGGTGAAGGCCTTCAGCATTATGAAGTGAAGACATTCGTAAAGAATATAAACAGCGATCTGCATGCAATGCAATGTTTCAATGTCAAAAAGGAACCTTTGGAATTACAAGCAGAAGAAAATGTTATTGATCCAAAAATGTGTAAAATAGTTTTTCAAATGAAGTTCATAATGATGATTAATATACGTAATTATAATGTAAGAGAAGGAATACAGAAAATCCCAAACGAAAGTTTCATAAAAAATGTGTAATTTAATACTTTAAGCGTCTTATGATTTAGAGTTCTCATGTCAGGAATAAGACCTGGCAAGCCTCGTTCTTCTAATTGAGTAGCAAATAGTTCCGCTTATATTTTTGAGAATTTATTACTTCCTATTAATGAATAATTTGTCGATGTTGAGATTTAAGTTATAGTGCGACAAACATAAGCCAATGTTTACTGCCAACACCGTTTTGTCCAGGATATTAAGCATTAATGAGTTTATGAAGTACAAGACCCATCTCACCTAACTTTTGGGAGCCGGTTATCTTATAAGAGTATGTACAAATTTATTATTTGGACATTACAAAACTACATTACAAAATTTATTATTTGGGAGCTCCACAGAATACGGATTCCTCACGATTGTGAGTTGTGCGAACCTATAAATCCACCCCTGATGTTGAGTTAGATTTAAGGAACTGGTAAGAGAAAATGATATAGACCTCACTGAAGGCCGCTGTATACACTCGACATCAGGAATGGCGTTAGGCATTTTGCCGCTGGTGCAGTTCTTCGCAGGTCCTATATTCTGTTGCCCGCTGCTTCCAAAAATTCTAAAAATTTTGCCGCCTCTAAATTCTGCTGGTCAGTATGTACCTTAAATTATAAAAGTTTGCGATCTCTTAATTTTGTTGCTTGATGCTTCACTTAATTCTAAAATATCTGTTGTCCCTAAATTCTACAGCCCAGTGAGCCCAGGCGCCTACAGCCCAAGCGCCAGAACACGAGCATCGCTGCTCGTGTTCTGGCGCCGGCCCTGCTCGGCGTTCATTGTAATGATCCCTCGTATACTAGCAAAGGACACTCTAAGTAGCGGTCCCTATAACGAAAGAAAATGTAATGTACCCTGATTTAAGTATTAATCGTTGTAATGGAACGATCACTATAACGAGCGGTCATTATAACGAGCGTCGATAGGAGCTCAAAACCCATGGCCATAGATGAATTAAAGACCACTCTGAATATCTGAGACATAGATTAAGACATATGGTAAAACTGTCAAATGTACCCGAAAGTTAATGCTTCAATGCCAAAGAGATTTTCGTTGTCTTGAAAACTTCAAATGATGCAGCAAAACACTCATTGCAAAGGTATGATATATATATATATATATAATAATTAAAATTTAACGGATTAATATTTTTCCCATAATACTACTCTAACGAATAAATTTCTATAAAATGAAACTTACATTTTATTTTAAAATTAATTTTTTCACAAGATTAAAGTAAAATATGTTTTAAATAAACATATTTGTTTGTTAATAACTAACTTGCGTTTAAAATTTGTGTTCGGGTTAATTATAAAGACGGTCTTACACAACGGCGAAATTGGACTAGCTAAAATTCAGGAGTTGCGTTATATCATTCCTTGCATAATGTTTAGCAACAGCGAAAATTAAGGAAAACAATCTGAACACTAAAAATATATTAAAAACTTCAAAAAATAATTCAACAAAGATCAACTAATTAAAAAAGGAAAATGAAAGAGAATAATTATTTTCTGATTATCTATTATCCTGCTTTGTAGGAGAAAATAAGTTACATTGAAGCTTGGAAAATTATTAATTTCATATCTATAATGGAAAAAAGCGTTATGGAATTGATAATAAAGCAAAGAAATTGCGCAAAATTTCTTCTAGTATTAGAATAGTAAACAAGGATTTCAAAGCGGATGTTTTGCTCTGCGCTTATTTCTTAAAAGTTACACTTTAATAGAATATGTATTACTTGACAGTTTCGAAAAACTATGCTGTTATAAATGCATTAACATGGCTAGAAAATCGTTTTCGTAATGCATTTGTAATACCAAGATAATGGCTTTATTTCTCCATATGTAGCCATGCGAAGAAAGATTGCCAGGTCGATGGCATTGAAAATGGTTTGGGCGTTGCCATCATTTTTTAAGCGCGTTTGATAACCATTCTTTTCTTCAGATAATGCACAGAGAAACCAGAAAGCTGAGTTATAGTACTTGCAAGTGAAATTTTGTTGAAAAGTATGGGAACAAAACACTTTCAAGGTAGACGATGCGTGAAAAAGCAATATCTCCTTCTAACCATATGAAATGAATGTGTGGAGAAGTAATTTAAAAGACTCTAAATGAATTTAGGTTTTTAAGAAGCTATTTTAAATAGAATAATAACATGCATGCTTAAAAAAGGAACACATTTGTTGGAAACATTTTGATGCATTCCGTCATTAAGTTACTTTACTGCATTTTTTTTTTTTTTTTTTTTTTTTTTTTTTTTTTTTTAAATTTTAGGAAAACATAGAGCAAAGAGATCACAGCCAATGATCCAAAACTGTCATTTGAAAGAATATGCTAGTGTCACTGCGAATAATAATTTGAAAAATTCTGCTGGTGTCAGATTATGTGCAATCTCTTGCTAATCAACTCTGTAAGGTATTTTTTTATCACCTGTATTTAAAAAGTACATTATTTGTAAATTTAATACGGTGATTCGTTTTAAAAAGATATATACTTCTAAACAATATTTTGCAGCATTTACACCATTAATATAATTAACTAAAGACGCTTTTAACTTCATACATTATGTAGCTGTGTAATTTTAAATCCTTCTTATTTATGTTTACATCAAATGTAAAATTAATCATAGTTACAGATTTTGTACTGCTTATCTACCGCATTCGTCCATGTGTTTCTTTCCTTTCTTTCTTTCTTCTTTTTTTTTTTTTTTTTAATATTATTTCAGCCTACTATTATATTAAATAATTTTGATACTTTTCCAATGTTTTGATATTTATAGACTTATACATTCAGAAACAAAGTGCAAAACTTTTAAAACTGCGATACCTTTTTAGATTTCATCATCAAATTATCTTTTCCCGTAATTTATAATCAAGTATCTTTGCAATAAAAAAATACCTTTTCCAGCAAAGCCAAGCATCAATGGAAGTAAAATAATCCTTTTCTTTGCCCAGATACTCTCAAATCGAATATCTGATGATCTTTAATACTGAATTTTTGCTATAAACAGCACGTAAAAATATATCTGCTGTTGATTCATTATTTCACAGATATTAAATCTATCTACCCATAGATCCCCGAAAATGACGAGTCGAAAAATATTCTAGAAAATCGTTTCTATAAAAATATATTTCTAAGTTTCAGAAACAGATTTTCGCATTTATAACTAAAATTTGACTTTGACCTTGGATAATGTCATGCAATAAGTGCAGTTTCACAAATTAAACATATGTTTTTTTAAAAAAAGCAATTGATATTTAGAGATATATGATTGTTGAAAAGTAATTTCCAAACAATACAGGTTAGAACCTCAGACATGTTATATACACATACTTTTCAATTATTCTTAAAAAAAAATACAAATATTTTTTTAAATAAATATCGTTTACCTTGCGAAGAGCAGTCCGGCCTCCAAATTTCCGAATTTCTTGCATCAGCTGCTCACGGGGATCGATCTGAGGAGCTAATTCTTTCCTTTCGGTACTATTCCGTACACCCATGGATTTGCGAGGAACATCTGGGCAAGACACTTTTGATATTTTTCCTATTGGTAACGGCGGTGGTGGAGGGGGCAGCAGGTTATCTTTGAACTCTTTTGTATTTACAGGACCTAAAGCAGCATTCGAATGGCTTCTGTCCTCATTTCCACCATTCAAATACTCATCATTATTCATGGTATCATTTCTATCACCATTGTCCTTCGAATGAGGTTTGGGGAAAGTGCAGACTTTAAGGGGAAGTTGAGAAGCTTGTGTTTTACATTCGGACTGTTGTCGCACGTTACTCTTGATATCGGACTTCACGATGTGTAATGGCTTTTTTAATCGTGATATACTCGACTGAAAATCTTCATCGTTGTTCTCTGAGATAAGCTTCAAACTCTCGAAAGAAGGCAAAATGGTTGACAACATTTTTGTGTCATCCGAAATGTCCAGCTCACCTTCTTTTCTAATTTCAGGAGGTAGCCTTTGCCGACTTTTAGTGGACGTCCTTACCTGGGGAGGCTTAAAATAATTTTTTGTTTTTGAAGATCTAAGTGTGCTGGAACCGCTATTTATTGGAATAGGTCCGAATTCTAAAGATGGTATATTAATAGTCGATCTTGGCAGAGTCGAACATTTTTCTTTTGTCGGCTCATAAGACAAAGACCTCGATACAAGTGGAGCAGAGGTCAAAGGTTCATCTGAATAATCTTCCCCTTCTGGTAAGCTGTGAGATTGTCGAAGGGTTCGCGCATATTGAGGTACGATGCATTCTTCTCGCAACATGGCGTGATTATTTAATAATTGCTGCTGCCACAAAATGAACTGTCTTTGCAATTTGATGTACTCCCTTTGCAATCTCTCTTGTTCTGCTTCGAATTCTTCTTTATCATCCGCGCAGAGATCAGACAGAGACCTTTGAATATGTCTTATATTTTTGGAATTCTTATGTGTGCCACTCTTCGGGGCAACGTCTTTAAGATTCAATAATGAAGATGATCTTTTTAGAGTTTTTAAATGCGTAGCAGGTGGCGGCTTAGGAGTATGGTCTTCATCTATAACAAGAGCTTCTTTTTCTATACTTCTGAAATCTGGCGGAGGTGCAATAGTCTCTTGACAGGGTTCCAATTCTTCATCGTCACTTTGCTTGCTTTCTAAGCTCAAAGAAAGCCTCACTGTAGTTTTTTGCAAATCATTTGAGCCGTCGGCATAATCTAACTGTTCACATTTAATTTCAGGAGGAGACAGACAAGATGAAGGATCAGGATCCTCATTAATATCATCCGATGCGGAAACCTCTTCGCTTCGGTCTTGTGTCGGTGTACTCCTTTGCTTGATGGCCAGAAGAGACGGTTCAGTTCTCTGGGGACAGTCCAAGGAATGGAAGGCTGCTTGGATGCTGGAAGCGATTTCCTGTTGCGTCACGTCCTGTTCGATTCGAGCGTTGAGGGCGACCAGCGCCACCCTGGTCACGGCCTCGCAAGGGAGAGGACACAGTTCGTCAGAAAGGAAAAGATTATTCGAAGCGTCTCTACAAAGGTCACCACCCGTGACTTCGAAGACAAGTTTTTTTGTTCCCGGCTGCTTTGGTCATGCTTCGTTAAACCCCAAACCTGATTTGTGATTTTTCCTTTTTAAATTTCGTCTGGAAAGTTATAAGTAGTTTCCACCAGGATTATTGTAAGCAATAACTATAATCTTAGGAAATGTAACGTTAAAGCATTCATTCAATTGAAAATGTGTTAATTTTTTTATCACTATATGCTAATTTTTTCGGGTGGGGTTATAATAATGTAGTTTTGCGTAATCAAAGCAAATTATCTTTTTATCTCTTGCGCCCTGTATCAAATTTCACTAGATTAAAATACTGGAAAATTGAATGAATACATAATTGAGCCATTAAAAAATTTAAGCATTATTCAGTTAACAAATGCATTTTTGTAGGTTCTAAAATTAGATTAAAATTTCCATTTTGGACTCTAATAATCAACTCGCTTATAAATCAAAACTGCATATTTTTATTTTAAAACAGTCTAAATATTTAAGCATTGTTATACATATTTGCAGAAGGTTTATGACAACTTCTAACAACAAGTAAAAAAAAAAAGAAAAAAGAAAAGAAAGAACATGCATTTTAAATATTTACATATTATGTACATTATTACTAGATATTTGAAAACAGGTTTTGCTTTTCTTTTTAATAAATATACTGCTGTTTAATTTTTGTCCTCTTCTGCGCAACAAAAGAATGAGAAATAATATGTATGTCCCTTTTGAAAAATATGCATAATTCTGTTTTTATACTGATTTTTATTTGTACACGATTTTTATATAACATTTATTTAATGTAATAGATCCTTCCCATAACTATCATGGGATGCATCTATTTAATTTTTTACCTAATTTATTATCATCTAACAAAAAAAAAAAAAAAAAAAAAAAAAAAAAAGCGTGTTTAAAAACTTTGTAAGATATATCCTAAGTTTATAACAGCTATTTTTAGTTTTACTCACCTTTCCTATCTATCCTAACTTCAGCTTACAATTCCTTACCAGCATGAGTGTTTAGAATCAAGTTAAATGCAGATGAGAAGCACAGCGTTATTTAAGTCGAAGTTCCACTGACTTCGAGAGAGAGAGTTAAATTTCCTGAATAGCGCGCGTCTGCCCTTTGGATTACGTCTCTCTAAGCTGTTACTACGCTCGGTCGTATTACGTGCCCCTGATAGCGTCGCTAGCTAATTTAATATTACGAGCTAACTAGTTTAGAAATTGCGTTAGCTTCGGCTAAATCTTCGGCTAATCTTGGTCATTAATCAAGTTCTTATTTCTTACATTTTTGAGCTTAAGCCCAAGTGAAGGCTTTGTTGTACGTCCTGAGAAAAGGACCATCTGTCAACTTTATTTTGAGAAATAAATGGTAATTAACCCTTCTTGAGCTTACGTTTCTGTTTTTGGACTTCAACTAATTAATAGTTAACTAATTAATTAATTCAACTTAATAATTTTAATAGTTTACTAGGTTCTTCAACCTTATTTAATAGATGAAAGTGAGGATCCCTACAACCTTAACCAAAATTAATTCTAAAATATTTTCAAGGTCAAAATTGTTTGAATTCGAAATTATAATATAAATGCCTGTTACGGTAATAACTTTTAATACAATTTTGGCTTTGACACTGTTTAATCACAAAAGCCAATAGAACGTCACATAGAAATACATTAAAATAGAAAATAGATTAACATAACGTTACATTACAAATTTTTATTATTTTATATGAAAAATGAATAAAAAAAAGCTTCCCTTTTTTATTGCTTATACAAATTTTACTTTAATCCGCTGACTTAAGTGTATTTACATAAAAGTTACTTGTGGAAATGGAAAAATATGATAAGAGCGTTTAAATTTGTATGTAAAGGTACTAAGAGATACCTACTTTACATTGAAATCTCAGAAAATTCCAACAAAAAAAAATCTACTCAAAACATATAAAGGTAAGTGATATTTTAGAACCATTTCACATATTTTCGAATTAATGACGTATGATTTCCTTTTCAAAGAATATAGTTTATATGTGTTCTTATATAAGTGTATATATACGTAATAATTTGATGCGTAGTCGTGATGGTAAAGTGGCAAGACGAGACGAAGATGACAAAACTGGATTCCGACACATCACCAGTCTTTATTTTCACACATATCCAGTTAGTTTGGCAGACACTTATTGAATCATAATGAAATGTGATAAATTTTTATGAACATTAGATTTTTGAAAGAAAGGTTATCAAGGTTAGTAAAAGAATGACGTAATTAATTCACCAGCGGTATTTATATTAAGTCTGAGGTATAAGTACGGCTAATCTACGATTGATTAATTTTAGTTTTAGTTGCCCTTTTTAAGTAGCGTTATATAACATGGAAGGATGTCGAATTTGGAAGAACAAATAAATTTAGGGAAAGAGCACCAAATCTAGGATAGTTAATTTTGAGATCGCCGATTATTTTGAAAGCAGACATCATATTTTGTTACAGCTTACATATGTATACAATAAAAAATACATAAAAAAGATGCAATATATTTTTATTATTATTATTAAGAAATTAGAAATGTAGACGAGGTTCAATTTATAAAAAATACATATACATCAATGTAATACAAATTATATAGAAACTTGATGGTTCTTTTAAGCGTATATAGAATGGTAGAGTTGTGTGGATTCACAATGTGCATAACTGAGCAGTAAAAAACTTTCAGACGTGGTCGTTGATTTTCAACAAATTGATTTTTATTTATTGATAACTAATTCATAGGTTATATAGTCTTGTTTACATATCACTGCGGGTGTGAAAAGCATCCTGCAGTACTATATTTATGATAACATCTCGAGATAACTGAATGAAGCGGAAAAGTAAGCAACACTTATTAGCACAGTGAAAAGGAAGCAAGAAAGTCTGTGCGCATTTCAGCATAGGGTTATTTATAGAGTTGGACTCTAGTTTGTTTAAATTTTGTACTGCGAGTGGATAAAAAATATCCGAAATATTACTCTTACATAGTGATGCAATGCGGATTACTTTCAGTTGATAAACGTTAAATTCCAGGAAGGGGAAGTAGCCAAATTAAAATGAAGAACTAAAAGGACTATTATTAAATTAAAGTTAGTAGTTTTCTTTCACATTATATATATATATATATATATACACACAAAGAGATTTTTAACCATTTGAATTCTACTATTAAAATTAATTATTTACAGTTCAAATAAATGTACACGGGTGTATGGTGTGGTGTATTTAATTATGGCAAAGCACGCTAGGGCTATCTGCCTAAGGGGAGGGATGCCTTCGTGGAGGACTTTCTAAGGGAAACTGGCTCGTACACACGTTACACATAGGGAAAACCACGAAAACACCCATGCAGCCAGCCCGTTCGTGGGATTCGAACCTCAGACCGAACTACCAGTGTTCAGCGACTTTACCGCTCGGCCGCTGGTGGGCCAAATGTACACGGGAAAAACAAATTCTACTTTTTTCACATATACATTTTTTTTATTTGCATTCCTTCGACATTTTTCTCTTCTTTAATATTACAATTATTTATTATTTCAGATGGGTCTGTTTATATTTGAAAGTTATAAATTTTAGTATTTATTCTTCTTTCTTGTCAGAGAAAATTGATTAAATATTTAATCTGAAAGCTCTAGACAACATGAAGTAGGAACAAAGAATAATTTTTAACAAAAAGCGAACTTGCTTGGAAATCAGTAAGAAATTTTTCGAAAATGAAAACGAAAATATATATTTTTTCCTGAAATTAGGATCAGCGTCTTCACCTCGGTCTGTACTGTAACAGCTTTAAATAGTATTAAAATCTTGTAGTTTAAATAATTTAAATAGATGAACATTAAGTTATTTGTGAATGGCAATATTCGAAACCAGACTCGAGTGCCACGTGCGACTCTCTCGCACGAAGAATGTAATTTATTTTTAAATGTTAGAATGTTTTCTCTTTCTTGTTTGTATGTCGCCATTTTTTTGAGTGTTAAATAAAAGTTATTGCTGTGTTCCATCATTGGAATTGCTTCATTTCGTCAAAGAAGTATCACAGTCATAATTATTTTGGATGGAGGCACCGACCAAGATCGAATAATCGTGCGTATTTTTATTTTATTAGTTCATCACTGAACATAATATTAGTGATACCAGATTATTACTTTCTGTTCATATAGAATTGCTTTATTTTATTAGTTCATCACTGAACGCAATATTAGCGATACCAGATTATTATTTCCTGTTAATATTAAATTGTCTTATTTTATTACCGTATTTGATATTATATTTAATATTCATTTTAGTTGTGCAGACGGTAGACATATATATATATTGCTCTATGTTATTATTCTTATTTTAATCACAATTAATGTGGTAGAGAGAATGAACTTCATATAATTTAAATATTTCATTTTTGAGGTATACGTACTTAACAAAGTGCATTTAATTTCGTGATTCCTGACTGCATTAATTAATTAAAGTAATTGAATTGAGCTATTTTGAGGAAATATAAAGAAAACAGTGTTCGTTAATTTTAAACATAGAAACAATGTCTTACTTAGGAAGAACTCGTAAGGAAGATTTGCAAAATCTCGCGGCTGAACTGGGAGTTCATGTGACTGCAGATTTGAAAATAGTCGATTTAAAACAGAAAATTGTTGAAAGTAGAGATTATGATGAAGTATTCGTCAAAGGAGTCTTAGACACAATAATAGAAGAACGGAAAGTGAGGGAGGAAAGGGAAGAACGGAAAGAAGAGGGAGGGGGGAAAGAGAAGAACGGAAAGAGAGGGAGGAGGAAAGAGGAAAGAGAAGAAAGGAAAGAGAGGGAGGAAAGGGAAAGAGAAGAACGTAGGAGACAGGAAGAAGCGGAAGAGCGGAGAAGGAAAGAACAGTATGAATTAGAGAGATTAAGACTTGAAGCAGAGACA